CTTCCTCCCCAGCCAGCCAGTCGTGCCCCGAAATGAGTTTCGTGGCGGGGGGGCAGCGTGGGGCTCACTCCGGCGTGGGGAATCCCCCGGCTCCGCACCCGGGGCCACCTTAAATAAACCGCGGCGGAGCGGACAAAAATCGTAGCTACAATTAAGGCTGTGATTGTGAAATAGCGTGAAGTGCGGGGAGCTCTTGATGGGATTTTGAATTGCTGGGGAATTGCTTAAAAATAAATGTGTAGCAATTACTGAGGCAGACAAAGGACTGCTTTGTGGATAGAGGTTGAGGGGAAAACAAAAAACGGGGTTTGTCACCTTTTGGGAGCAGAGCAGACTGATATTGGGCATGTGTATAATCCTACTCGTTTAGAGGTGGAAACGTCCAGTTGAATGTTTTTGATGCATGTCGGGTGTTGTCAAAATGTCTGTAAAATATTGGAATAAATAGATAAATGATGTCCACAGGAACAAAGTCCATCAGTCCAGTGATCCGTGTGATGTGTCTGGGTAGCGTATAGAAAACATATTTTCACAGAATGTTGTGAAACACAGGATCTGTGAATCTGGGGAATCAAAGAATAGGATTTCTTAAGCTGTTTTTGTTAGTCTTTTTTTTGTTACAGCCTGTTTCACATAATGGACCTATTTAATTTTATGCATCCAAAAAGGACCCTTTATTAAAATCTTCTTATTTCTCTTTCACCTCTTAAATATGTGAGGCTTTCCCTTCTTGGCATTTTTAAAATTTAATGGAAACCATGTTTTCAATGTCCCAGGACCAGTGCAAGGAGGGCTGTGTGAGGTGCAGTGGCATGGTGGGGTTTGGCTGGGGAATGCGAAGCTGTCTCGCTTGGCTGCCACCACAGCCTGCGGGGGGGACACACTCACAAAACGTGCAGGATTTATACCCGGAGCCCCTTCGTTGTGTGCTTCAGAGTGTAACGTTTGAATTACTCTGAGAGGAAGGACAATGCGTTGAGATTTCTGCAGCTGGGGGCTTCTCGAGCCCTTTGGACACAGCCCCCACCCTGGGCTGGGGGAGGCTGGGCTGCATTTGGCCGCAGTGGCCCAGGAGGCTGATTGGAAAATAAATTGTGTTGCTTAGATTAGCCTCACAGCTGGATCCCTAAGTCCCAGCACTGATCCCCAGTGATTCAAGGAGCCAAAGGGCTGATGTTTTGGCTGGGTGTGGGATGCTCTCAGGTGTTGCCTGCGTGCTGTGGCTCACTGGGGTGCCTGGGGGAACCACACGTGGCTTTCTGCTCCTTTGCCAGCTACCAGCGTCCACCTCCAATGACAATTTCGTCTGAGAGAATGTAAAAGTCGTCAGTGTCTGCAAATGCATGGAGAGATGAGTGTGAAATTTGGTTCCTGTGCAATGCTCTCTGGCAGAGTTGAAATGGGAGCGTGTAAAAATGCTTGGAAGCCCCGGGAAGAGTGCAAGGAGCTGATGCTGCTCTGGCCTCGCTCCCTGCCAGGTGCTGATGCCAGCAGCAGGCCATGCGTGCGGTGGGGCTGCGAGCAAGGCCAAACCCAGTGCCGCCGGCCTTGCCTGTATCCGTGCTGCCGGTCTTCGCCCTTCCCTGTCAATGCTGCAGAGGCTGCACATTCGTTCCAGGGGATGTTCATGCCCAAAACCAAGTGCAGGCAGGAGCATGTTTGAGAGGAGGACGCGTGGGGCAAAGGCACATCCTCAACAGGGAGAGCCCAGCCCTGGCTGTCACAGTGCCTCAGCCCCAGGTCTTGTTCATTATCTCTCGATTTACTCTGCAATGTGTGTAAATATGTTGTGTATTGCTAAACCAACCAGTAAGCAGTAATCTGTTTTCATATCTCCCCCCCATCATCCCCGCACCCTGTCAGTCCCTTTTCCAGTCATCTCTTTGTTCGGTGACAACCACGACAAAAGATGTGCGTTTCAGGCAGATGGCACCCCGGTAGTGATTTTTAAGCCTCTCTTAGAAACTCTTCTTATTTGGCCAGTGAAGCTTGTGTTTTAAGCAAAGCCACAATTTTCTGTGGCCATCTATGCAAGGGAAGAGAGTTTGCTTGTGCATTAGGGTGTCGCGTGGGTGGACAAGTCCTTTGCATATGAGGCTGGGGTCAGATTGGGGCATTACGTTCTCTGTTGAAGCCATTCTGGAGAAGGGAAGGGCACCCATGCCAGCAGCAGCAGCTCCTGCTCTCCCTGTACCAACATCTCTGTGGGAGCACAGTGCTGCTCCCCCCACCTTGATCGCTTCAGGGCTCAGCTGTCTCGACCCCTGCAAGCATCCGACCCAGCCCTGCTCCTGCGGCGGTTCCCTGCGCAGGAGGTGTGCTCAGAGGTTTCTTTGAAGAAACAAGCAGTGACAACAGGGCTGTCGCCTGGGGCTGGGTATGGGGCTGGCAGAGAGCTGCCCAGACACTGCAGCTGCGAATATGGATTCTGCTATTCACCAGCATTTTGGTGTGGATTTATTTTCAAAGCAGGAGTTTTTCTCGCTTCTTTGAGCCTTCCTGTGGCCCAGATTCGCCAAAAGCTTTTAGCTCCTAATTTTTCTGTTGCTTTCCAGCAGAATTTGGGAACCCCAAAGTCTGACTGTGAGACTGAACCTGGGTTATAAATACCAAAGTCTCCATTAGGGAAGATGCAGACCTCTGCAGGCAGAGCACCTGGTGTGGGATCACTGTTGACTTTGACAGCAGCGCTGAGGTTCATGTCTGCCCCAGGCCCACTGACCATGCTTGAGAACGTGCAGGGCAGGGGCTGGATCCTGTTCATCCTGATGGATCTTGCAGCATCTCTTGGTGCCTGAGGGGCTTTTGCCTCCGGTCCTGGGCAGCAGGGACCAGGGAGAGGTGGCAGTTCCTATCTCCTGTGGGGAAAACTCAGTGCAAACCACATTCAAGGTGGATGGCGGCACTTGGGGCTCATCCCAGGTTAAGAGCACTGGGAGCCAGAATGTGCGTGTGTGCCCCCACCCCACCCCCGGCCCTTATCCCCTGCTCTGTTCTGCTTGCGCAGCCTGATTGCTCTTTTTGTTTGCTGCAAGGTGGGAGCTGGGGAGCAATTCCCCATGCTGTTCTGCCAGCCATGTGTCCGTGCCTGATAAGGGGCCACAGGGGACCAAAGATAAGTTTTCTCTTGGTGCTGGGTCTGCATTTCCTCAATCATCTTGCTTTATCTTTTGTTTTCTGTGATGGCAATAACAGTGTGTTGTCTGTACATTAGGACAGTTGTTTTCCAAGCAGAGGCTGCCTTGCTTTCGGTCAGATGACGTTTAGGTAATCATGAGGCATCCATAATTTGTACCAGTAATTACACCACTTAACAGGGTCTTGTGGGGAGCAGCTAGTAAAAACAGAGTTTTAACGGTTCCCGCGTTTAATGGCTTTAGGCATGTTTTATAAGAAAAATCTTGAGCAGGATTTTAGAAAAAAATCAGGAACCAATTAGATTATCCAGGTGAAAATACTGTCAGCTCATTGAGTATATTCCTGTGCATCATTCTGCTGGGGCAGCGGTGCTGGTTTTTATAGGGTTTGTTCAAAATCACAATGGCGAGCAGTCGGGCTATTTGTAATTGCACTCTGACAGGGAAGAAACTACAAGGACCACCACCTTTCCTGCCATCTTTGCACAATCATCAGGCATTGAGTCGTGCAAAGCATTCACCAAATGTTCCATTTTCTCATTTCGCCCTGTCTATTATAATCATTAGCCATTCATCACTGATGTTATATGTACTGGCAAGCTCTTCAGATGGTGTCTTGTGTGTGCCTTTCAAACCTAGCCAGGCAAAACCACATCCAGTGACAACATGTGACACACTAACATGAGCAAACAGCTATTTTTGTGAGGCAGTGATGTGCTAATTTTCAAGGCATATTGAGAACATAATAGGGAATGTACGAATTCATTATTCTATGTTCAGTGTAATTACTCTGATTTTACTGAGTTTGGAATGACAAAGAAAAGAAATCCTGCCTTTTCCAAGAAATGTATTTATTGCTGTTTGCTTTGTTTTGTACCTTGAAAGCACTTCCTTCTCTATAGAAATTCGGAGGTAAATATTCCATTCAGCACTGAATAGTTTCATTCGGAATCATCAGTCTTTTGATGACATTTTCTATCTTATGTAGGGCACCCTAGATATTTTAATCAACTTTCAACTGGATTGGACATGGTTGGATTGGCAGCAGACTGGCTGACATCAGCAGCAAATACTAATATGTAAGTAGCAGATTTTTTTCAAAATAATATTTAATGTAGTTTCGTAGTTACACTCTATAATACTAGCTGCTGTAGGTGAATGAAAGAAAGAATACTTGTATGTTAAAGTTGCTGGAAGAACAATTTTCTGCTTTTTAAATGGTTATTACAGTTAGTCACATGAAGACTTTCAACATTGTCCTGTAGAGTGTCTTCTATAAAAATTTGTCGTACTAATATGATGTCTGTTTTGCTACTCACCCAAAAATATACAGAAAAAAATATTTTAGCATTTTGCATGCATAAGTACATAAAATGAAGGGTGTGCTAAGTGAACAGTTGCATTCATGTAGAGGGGTTACTACCATCCATTCACAGAGCAGTTAGAGCTATTGCTTTCTGTAAGAAAGAAGTGCAGAATTTGAAGTGTGGAATTTTTTCACTTTGGAACCAGAAAGCATTTTTGTGCAGTCACTTGGCTTCCTGAACTGTCTTGTCGTCACGAATAGGATTGCTGACATGTATGCTTCTGGATGTGAGCACAGGTTTTTGCAAGGTCTGGCTCTGCCCAGCAGCTGTTGAATATAGGGCAAAGCCTTGAGCCTGGAAGAGGTGGACAGAATTGGTTTCAGTAAAACAAGTGGCAGTGGAATCTCCAGCACTGAGCATTTCTCCTAGATATTTGAAGTCAAATAAGAAGATAATTGAAAGTATTGTAAAGCAGAACTTTACCTGATGCAAGATAAGAGTATATTGTGGCTATAATGTAATGTAGTATTGGAAAAAGATGTGTTAGTGTTGTAGATGAAAGCGTTAAATATGGACATTACTACATTTCAGGTTCACCTATGAAATTGCTCCAGTGTTTGTACTTTTGGAATATGTCACACTAAGGAAAATGAGAGAGATGGTTGGCTGGCCAGGGGGCTGTGGCGATGGGATATTTTCACCTGGTACATGACATTTCAAACTTTCTCTTTTTTTCAGACTATGCTATATGACATCCCCTGTAGTTAAAAAGTAAACACAATTAAATATGCATGTTCGAGAGGACAATTGCTAATAACCACCAGTGGCCTGTTTGAAATAAAAAAGTATTGCATGTTTATGAATTTCAGGGATGTGATTATGAGGGTCTGTTTGAGCAAATTGCACTGCATTATGAGCAGCTGTAATGGCACATGGGAAACATAATCAGAAGAGACATTTGCTTCACAGTTTTGCTTTGCCCCCACTTTTTATGGATTACATGAAACAGGAAGACTTTTTTATTAACAGTGGAGGGAAGAAACACAGCAGTGCTCTCCATCACCACAGGGGAAATTGGAGCAAAGAGGGAAAGATGTAGCATACCTTTAAGTAATTTTAATGGAGTTGGTAAGATCCTGACAACGTTACAGTATATGTTTTGCTTTCCATTTGTGAGCTGACCTCTTGAGCTCAAGTGGAGACATTTGGCTGGCTAGTTAATCTGAGTGCTTAATAGCTCAGCAACCTGGCTCCTTTAGGGCAAGTCAGCAAGGCAAAATATGAGTGTGATTAAGTGCAGAGAAACCATTGACAAACACTACATTGTTAACACCTTTTTTTTTTAACATTCCACTTAGTCTTTTGATTTATACACTTTGTCATCTCCTATCTTACTCTGGAATTTCATTGCTAACATTTTGGCCTATCTTGGAAAAAGTTGGAAGAATTTACCTTGGGCATAGCATCTTGGCTTGTCAAAAGAGAACAGACTGATAATATGGTGTGAAAAGAGCCCTTTTGGAAAGAAAGTTCATTGACCTAATCAAGAGAGACAGAGTGTTTGGACTTCTGAAAAAATGAAAGGCCTCACTGATGACAGCCTAGGATGTTCAGCTCTCTGAGGGCATGAAGGGTAAATTCCATGCTGTGCAGAAGATCAGGCAAGGCTCTTCTTCAGCTTCTCACATCTGAGCCCCTGCTCATCCCACCCCTTTCTCTGCAATTTCTGGTTTGTGCAAAGTGCATCTTTCTAATTCAGTCTCTTAAGGCAGCAATATCTGGTGTGCAGGTTCTGGTTTTTTTAGGCAATAATCAAAATCATCTCTCTGCTGTCTTCTCATTTCAAACTTCACAGCTTCATCTGGAGACCTTATTGGTACGAAGAAAAGGTTCTCGCTCTCTGCATTCTGTGAAATGAAATACACAGTATCGATACATGCAAAGCATGAAGGCCTGATTAGGTTCTCCAAATTCTGTAGGTGTGTTTTGCTGCCTGTAATTAACTTTAGGTGTAAACACAGCTGCAGAATTAAAAGCAGAATGCGAGTTATTAATAAGCTTAAGGTTAAATGACTAGATGATAAATACTAATAGGAAAACCTTTCAGTCTTGATTCTTTTGACACTTGACCCAATGACTTTGCACAAGATGGGCCAAATTTTCGACTTGACACCTTAGTTCAGTCCTCTAAATCATCTACAGCGGCTGTTACATGATGTGCGTTTTTTAGGGACAGATACCCAAGCATTTCCTCTTAATCACTCTGTTTATTGTTTTGTCATTTGTGAAAAGATGTGTAGAAATACATTCGTACCTCTCAAGATAGTGGAAGGGGAAGGAAAAACCCAGTCTGTACTGACCCCCATGCCAGTGATGCCATCTCTTTGTGGCATTTTCCCTTGGATTCAGAGGAGGGCCAGTGAGGTTAGGAAAAGCCCAGAGCAGGGGCAGCCTCACTGCAAGAGCAGAGCCAGGACACTGATTAGAAATGAAGGGCACAGTTCCTGTGGGCTGTGGAACAGTTTGTATATCTCCAGTGGGATAAATACAAATCTTACGGAAGTCAAAATGATGTTAAATTTGCCAGCACTTATACCCTGTTGGTGTAACGTGCTGTAAAGTCACTGCTTTTAGCAGAGCTAAAAAGCCATCCAGGTGCTGGGTGCGTGCCCTGGACTGGTTACAGGAGCTCCCGTATATTCAAGGGAGAGAGGTGGACATGTCTGCAGGGCAAATCACCCCACTCACTGCAAACAGCTGCCTAAGGATCAGCCGAACCATCTTCTAGAATTGTGCTCTTCACTCCATTTTTAGATGGATGAAAGTTGGCTTAGGTGAACTCTATCTCAGCTGCACTCTGACCTGTTCATTTGAAAACCCGAAACCATAATCAGTATACACTTCTGCTTTATATAAGTATATATGCATAAACATCAATATATAATCAGTCTGTATATATATAGAGAGAGAAATAGAGTATATATACAGGATAAAACTGTTGAATTTTATGTATACGTATCTGTGTGTGTGTTTATGTGCTCACACATGTCAAAGTATTCAGACTCTGCCTCAGGTTCTGCATTATATTCCCATAGTGCTCATGCAGCATTAATGTGTAACTAAACATTGTTCTACTGTAGACACAGAGGCTTGATCTGTAAAAAATTCAAAAAGGAAGTACTCATTTTTAATTTATGCATTGACAATTGAAATATGGAAACAGAATACTGCAGTGCTGTCACTGATACCCATCTTGAAGTGGGTAAAATATCCATCTTGAAATAGGCATTTTAAGTCAATGTTTGCCAGCAATCTTAAGGTTAGTGTTAGGGACATGTAGCCTTTTCCTCTCACTCCCATCGGAGGACAAATAAAGAGAAAAATACTTGTTAGAATAACCCTTTTTCCTTTACCTTCCCTTCCCCAACTCCAGTTTTCTAGAAGATAAGAGTCTGTTGGGTTTCCTCAGAGCTGGGTCATGAAATGCCACCCTGATTTGGGAGAGGAGAGCACAGATTAGGTTGCACTTGGAAGCACCTTAGGATGTTGCCTTGTTGTGACATCTGCTTGGGAGGTGGAACAGAGTGGAGATTATGTGTTAATGGCATAGCGAAAGATAAGATTGGAGACTAAAGTAGAAATGGAAGCAAAAATGAGGATGGCAGGAAGCCTCAATCGTTTTTTTGCAGTAGTACTTTTTTGCATAAATTTATTGTTGGGGTGTAGTAGATGTTATTACACAGCCCAGCTGTGAGGAGCATCAGGAAGAGGAATCCATGTTTCTGTCATGCAGCAGAAACAATAACATTAGAGATTGTAGCGAGATTGTCATTTGTTCTGCAATGATATTACAATGCATAGTAAAAGTAACAGTATATTACTGTGGACTCCAGGTGGTGCCATATCTAACATGTATGCTATGTTGATTGCACGTTTCAAGATGTTCCCAGAAGTTAAAGAAAAAGGAATGGCAGCTATTCCAAGACTGGTTGCCTTCACATCAGAACATGTATGTGTTTCTGTTTTTTCCCTATCTATTGCATCTGGTTGTATGAATTTATGATTAAGAAAAAAGCTGAATGGGAATTTGTAAACAACTCTTCATTTCTGTTATTCCTTCACTGGGAATAAAAAACAATGGGAAGGGGCTGGCTTTTTGGTATATTTAGGGATAAGTTGTGCAGTTATCTGTGGCTGAAACTCAGGGTGAGCAGGCTCTGCAAACCACTGCCATTTTTTTGCTCTCACTTGTGTCTGTATAAATGTCAATGTGAATGGTAAGGACCACATCAAACGATGAGATCTCATCATCGGGCTTCTACACTTTCTACCAGGAGTGTGTTTTGTTCGGATCACTCTGGGGGAGCAGAAAATCACTTTGAGTCAAAATGTTTCTAGCTGAAACCACTCCTGCTGTTGTTTAATGAGAGGGTGGTAACACACATGAAGAGAGTAGTATAGAAATGCCGTGTGTGTGTGCAGCAGCACAGCAGTGGCATACAGTGGGAAGCTAGGCTTTGCTGTGGGTTTCTGCCTGTCAGGAAAAGCTTCAGCAGACACGGTTTCATCACTGGCATCTAGAGGATCTGTCAGAGCAAGAGATGAGGGCAGGTGGGCTGAGAAGGAATCAGTGGTCCTCATGGGAGAAACGAGGTTTTTTACTCTTTGAACAACCATACAGAAGTCATATTTCTGTCTGCACTGCAAAGGGGAGGGTTATTTCAGCTTTATGGCCATTTAAAACTCCTTGCAGCTTATAGTGGAGAATGCATGTGCAGGAGGAAGGGGAAGAGGAAGGGTTATGCACAGGAGGAGCTGTGAGCTCTCTTTGGACTTCATGGTCCCCAACTAAATTTCTCTCCAGCTGTGTGCGCTCAGCCGGAAAGGACTCTTTCTTGTCTGAGGGAGGATGCTGTCTGTGTGAGGTAACAACATCCTTCTGGCCGCCTTTTTCAAATAATCAAAGAATGCATTTCCGTTCTATGCAAGACTGAAGAGAAAGCGTCCTAAAAACCAATCAGGAATGTCTAGGAGTAAATCCCTCGGAGGATGCTTTTCATGGCAATAGGATGAGATGCGATACACAACTGTGGACTGTGCATTGCAGAATAATTGTCCCCAAAGCAGTCAAAGAGAAGGATATTCTACAAATGACTGGCCACTCTCCAAAGTTGGCTGTGTGGCTAGAGTTGCATTATTCATGTAAAAGTTACAGATCGGATAAGTCTTGCAAATAAGGTTCAGCATGCTTATTTAAAATAACTAATCCTATTAATCATTAGAGAATTTTGTTGTATTCATAGAGGTGGAATGTTAAACAATGAACCAAATTGTGCTATCAGTCTCAAAATAATGAACTAAGCTTTAATAATTGTGTTTTCATGCCAGGGAAGAAGAAGTAGCTCCCTTAGCAAATTAAACATTCCAAAATCAAATATACTTGAGAATCCATAGAACAGCATCTGAAATCCGTTACATTTGAAAAGTATGTTGAAATTGTAGTTTTGTCTCTTCCTTAAGCAAGTTCTTTATAAAGTGTATAATGGCACATCTTCTAGGGAAGTTAAGTAGCCATGCTACATGAAAACAGGACCCTTTAACCCTTAATTACCCAAAGAATATGGGATCAGGGTTTTACCCTCAAAATAGCATTGCAGAGCCTTGCAAGTACAATCCCTTTTAGCTAGGAACTGTCATGCAGAACCTGAATAGATGTTAAGAATAAGAACATTGTTTGTCTCATCACATCATGCTGATCTTCCTACTGTTAGACTCCCCAGCCTGATTTTGATTTCTCTCTGTCACAGTTGGATGCTTTGCAAGAGGATGGTCATGGAACAAGGAGACTATAAGCAGGATACTATAATTTCCCCATGCTCTGCACATGTGGCATGATAGTAAACAAAGCTTAAAGTTATTGTGTATGTTTAGAAACTTGGAGATTTTTGTCTCAAGATTTTCGGTCATAAGCAAAGATTCCCGTATCAGCAATTCTGAGACAATTTCAGCATCACAGACCAGACTGTGTTTTCATTTCTGCCAGTCTAGAGCTTCCATTACTATAAATGCATGAAGTTACTCCATGATTGCCGCCAGTACTGCTGTCAGGAGAATCTGGCCTCAGTCTGATGCCATGATAGATTCAGCTGCCAGCGGGGAAAAAGGAAGGGAGGAGTAGTTCACAGCTCCCAAGTAATTCCCTTTGTAATTTAGGAGTGCATCATGTTCCTAAACTAGGAGCCTCACTCTCTGTGCAACCGGTGGAGAGAGGCGGCTCAGGAGAGAAACTCAGTGTATCTAAATTAAGATTCTAAATAATCCTAATTTAGATCTTTTAGATCACCTCTGGGAGGTGTTCACCTACTTATGTGCATTGACTATACAGAGATATCAGCCTCCTGACATACGCAGCCTACATTAGGTGCCTAAAATGTTATATAACTATTCCAGTGGTGCATATTCCCAGTAAACAGATCTCCACTGAGCTGTTCGGTAGGACCATGACTTACCTCTCACTCTGCTTGTGTTTGTTTCTGTTGCACTAATGACAGTGAAGTACACTATAACTGCTTGGGTTTTGGCCTGGGTATAATTTCACTGAGATGCACTTCCACTCAGGACTTAAATCAATCCTCTCTGTTCACCAGTGCATCATCTGTGGTTCTTTAATCTGTACTGGTGCAGGAGCAGAGTGATGTCCTTCAGGGCAGCTGTTCTGGGCGGCACATGATGCAAGAGACCTTGACTCAGAGGGGTAAAAGTGATGGATGCCAGTTGTAAAAAACTATTTTAATCTATCATTTCAAACACAATGAAAAATCTAAGATGAAGGCTTCCTCCTGTGCCCCAGTGCATCAGCTTTAGGCTACTGTGAGTGTTCAGCTGAGCACATCCTTTTTTTAGTATGGATAGAACAGCTGAAAGGGAGAGCTGCCTTCTCAGAATATTTTAGTTGATCCGTAAGGCAAGTCTCGTTGAATTTTAACTGATTCTCTGTTGTGATTTAGACCTGGACAACTAGCGCTCTCTTAAACAGCATCCCATAGTAGCTGAGAATAGTATGGAGCAGGGATCACCCCTAGCAGACCAAAAGGACCAAGTCATTTTACCCTGAGAAGGGGTGCAGAGTTTATCTGTAGAGAACCAGCTGGGTTCAGGTTACAAAACGGCCTTTAGTCTTTTTATTGGTAGTGTAAAAATGGTTTAAGACACTTGCAGCTTTTCCATAGGCTTCATGTTTAATTAGGGGCTGTATGTATTCAGTCCACAGTTCAGAGAATAGAGAAAAAACCCCACAAAAACTAGGCATAATTCGAAAGACGTAGAGATTTCTTCATCTCTTTTGTTCTCCATCCCAGCAAGACTATGCTCATGTAGTTCACGTCAGCTTTCCTTGTTACCCACCCCTCTAGCAGCCCCCTGAGGAGGAATGCCTTGTCTGGTGCTCACCAAGGAAATAGAATAGTAGAAAATGCAGAGTAAGAACTGACACGTGATTGAGTCTGATTCGACAACAAGGGACCTCTTCACCCATTAGAGACCCAAGGAGACACAGAGAATTTCTCTGCCTCTAGAATTCCCCCACCCACACTGCTCTTGGGTGAGCTGGCTCCTGCCCGAGGCATTGCGGGGAGTGCAGCTCCAACATCCACTGCCTGTGAAGGGACGGTCTCTCGGCTGCTCAGGCGTCAGGTGTCAGCACTGTAGACAGCAGACACATTCACCCACTGGGAGAGCACTGGGAGCCCCTGTGGGAGGTGGTTTGTCTGTGGTGGTAGGGCAGTACCCTCGCAGCAATACCTCACACAGCATCCACACAGAAAGTAGATTGGAGGAGGCAGTTAGCAATAAATCAGTGCTTCAGCTTCTTGCATGCTGATTTCCCCCTGTGGGCAAGCCTCACTGCTTGCAGGGACTATGGCGAAGTATGCCAATAGCTGTGGGAGAAGAGTGGCTTGGGCAGAGTTTTTGTCTGAACAGTTTCTGAAACTTAATATGGAGGTTCTTGGTGCTGAGACAGAAGGAAATTAAAATGTGACTTCTGCCTCACAGCAGATGGCTCAGTAGGCCTCCATTTCACGCAATTTATTGAAGTTTTTGGGTTGGTTTCTGTGTAAAATGAAATTCCCACCACTTCCATGGCATATAGTGTTGCCCTCTGGCCAGGCAACTTAGACAGTTTCCAGTACTGCCACTTCCAAAAAGCAGTCCAAAGGGTGACCTATATGGTGGAGCTTTCAGGAAAAGATTTGAGGAGCCTGGAAATCATGTTTTCCATCTGGTAGCATAAATTATGAAGCCGTAAGTTATACTTCTGAGCATACAGGGTAAATAGGGAGTAGTTTTTTTCCACCTAAGGAAACCAAAAATCAAATTAACAGATTCACCCATTCTTTCTTTGCATGCCCTAATGCGTAATAACTAGAAAAGTACTTTTGGTGGCATTTGAAGCTGTGGGCAACAGTGAAAATTTGGTCTTACTTGAGGAGTAGCCTAATTCAAGTAACACCATTCAAATCAAAGTAGAAACATTTTCCAGAAAAGTAGTGCTCTAGGGTAGCCTACCCTAAAGGAAACATTTGTCATTTGGTTCTAATCCTTCATCTGGTTGGTATCTTAATGCCACAGCAGTCTCCTGAACTCAGTGCAACATTTCTTATCCGCAGATAGTGCTGTAAAACTATCTGCATGGGAAAGAAAGAAGAGAGTGTTGCTGGATTAGAAAAGCAGTATGAAGTTACATATTTCAAAAATGCAAAAGGAATATTGATATGCAGAAACAGTCATATATTCATTTCTCTCCTGACATTTACAAATAACTTCTAAAAAACTGAATAGCAGTAGGTAAAGGGAACAATAGTAAACATATATGTTGTTACAGTGTATTTAAAAATGTGATGGGACACAGTATACTCTTTGTAGATCATTGAAGGAAAAGTTGTAGCTTACAATTAGACCTTAAAGATAGAATTCATGTCACTTAACTTTAATCACCTAAAGTGTAAACAT